TCCTTCCTTCCTTCCTTCCTTCCTTCCTTCCTTCCTTCCTTCCTTCTTTCCTTCCTTCCCTCTCTATATTGTGGTTTGGACTCTTGGCCCTGTGCTTGCTAAACAGATACTTTACCACTGAGCCACACTCCAACCCTTTTAACCACCCCTCCCTGCATGATAACAAGCAAGTTCTACCAAACTCTCCTGGCTTATTTGTTGGAAATAATTGGGTCTTACAAAACTTTTTTTACTAGACTGGTCTTGAATTGTGATTCTTTTGATTTTTGCCTCCTAAGTAGCTAGGATTTCAGGCATGAGCCATCAAACTTCATCTAGATATTATATATTTAAACTTTTTTTAAAGAATGAAAAAAAGGTTACCAAATGTTTTCAAATGAATGAAGTGTTGTTCTATTCAGTCACTTCCATCCATGCCAACCTCCTGAGGGATCTTATTCACTCTGAAGACTCTGTAATACCACTTTCCATGCCACCAGTGCAGGGACTCTTCCTTATGACCCATCCATCCTCTGTTGGGGCATTTTCAGCTTCTATGTCTATTTGGTACCTTGTCTGTGTCTTTTGTGGCTGAAGGAATTCCTGGACAGAGGTGGCCTCTGGTCCCCTTCCTATCCCAGATGTTTTCCTACATGCAAGAGAGTTCCTGCCTGCCCTTCATTGGCTTTCCCTGCTGGTCACAGCTTACATAACCACACACATTTGTCAAAATTGGAAAATCAACACTGGTGCAATACTATTAAACAAACAGTAGAATTGTTTAGATTTCATGTTTTTCCCCCACTAATGTTCTTTAACTGGGTGCCACACTGCACTTAGCTCAGTAGTTTATACTGTTTAAAAGCATTTTTGGTATTATTTTAAGGAATATTTTTGCTGCTTATAGTCAGTAGAAAAGCCTCATTTCTATTTATTCAATTTTGAGCATGAATAAAAGTAGTAATCTTACTGCTGATTATAGAAAACCTTATAGGTTTTCTCAAGGTTAATTTTTTTTCTCAAGTACTGTTTGCTCTATTCATTTGCTTAGCATTTCTCCAAAATTGATACAAATGTAAACCTCAGCATGGCTGAGTATTTACTCTGGCAAAATGCTTACTTTAGTAGGGTCTGCTGCGAGGAGGCCTCACTCTGCGGACATCACTGTCTTGGAGTTTAGTTCCCCCAGAGTTACAACCTGCCACGTGATAGGGGATATGATGCAAGGGAATAATCTATTTGTATGATTCCACTCATCACTCCTAATTTAGAATAGTTGCAGTATTCTCACAACTGGAAAAAAATGAGCATTTTGGTGTCTTGAGATCTATGCTGGCCCACCTTTCCCTACACCATGCTTCCAGAGGAAAAGCACCCAGATGCCCCACTAACAAATTGTGTCTCTGAGATGACTGTTAAACTGGAGTCCCTGGGTGTGCAGCTCTATGAGGGAGCACAGGATTGGGGGACTATCCACATGATGAAACCCAGGAGATAATTGCAAAAGATGTTCTTTGGATGATCTCTGTAAAACACAATATGTGAATATGTCAGGAGAAATACACACACTTGAACCTGGAGAAGAATGGGAAGGAAATATCTGGAAAATGTCTATTGGTTTTTGCCTAGCTGAGCATCGAACTTAGGGCATTGCCCTTGTAAAACTCAATGCTTTCCCACTCAGCTAAATCCCCAACCCTGACTTTTTTTCTCTAGATGATAGGATAATAGCTGTCACTAAGTTTTTTCTTTTTGTCCATTCAGCCTTAGCAAAATTTATACAATAACAAAAAATAAATTTCAATAATAAAGAACAATAATGTCAAAGTTTAAGAAACAAAATAAGGAAACCTTTTATGAGTTATAAGTAGACAAGTACCTTGATAGATTATCATGACTTTTTAACTGTCCCTTTAATAGACTATGACTCTCTCTACCAGCATGGGATGCTCAGAGGATGTTACTATGATCAAATGTAATCAAGTGAAAACTTTATAAAAGGAGAATAGGGTTCCAAGTTAGCAAAAAAAACAGATATATCAAATACAACTTGGGGTGGGGAATGGGGATCAAAGTGTACAGAAGTTTTAGTCAGGAGGAATCATTTCAGTGGGTCCCCTGTTCAGCATGATGACTATATCTAGTGTATACTTAATGTACTGGATGCTGGAAAACTCCAACTGGAGACAAATGATGAATGCATGAAGTAGTGCCTGTTTCTCTCATTTTTCCATTCAACAGTATGCACATGTTTTAATATATCACATGACACATCATAAACATGTGTAATTTCTGTGTTAAGAAGTAAATAATAAGCAAAATTACAACCAGCTGCATAATATTGCCACATATGCAACATGGTAGGCTCTGAAAAACAAAACAAGACAGAATTAAAAGCAGAGTAACATGTCTTAGGCACAAAGCCAAGCAAGGGGCACTTTCTTTCCAAATGCACATCTTGGGAGGTCTGTGGCTAAGCAGTGGAAGTCTACAGGTCTACACCATAGCAGGGCCAGGGCCAAGGCCAAAGTGGTCATTATTCCTCAGCCACTGATTTCCAAAGTGAGGGGTGGCTCTGCGATTTGAGGACTGAGATTTTTCTTTGTAAGTCAGGCAAATGGCCTGAACTATTTTAGGCTTCAAACTGGATCTCATAAAATCCATCTCCAATTCCTCCATGCCAGAAATCATTCTTTTCAATGTTTAAACAGTTTAGGATACATTTGTGGCATTTCATTCTCCTGGAAATTTGCCTTGTTCTCTTACGAATTTATCACCTACCAGTCTCCAGCTCACCATGGTGCAGAAGCTATGCAGTAAAAAGACTCCTGAGGCGCAGAACCATTGAAAGGGCTTTTCCAAGAGAATTGATGAGCGAGGGGTAACAGGCCAGCCGAATTTTCACTCTGAGTTAAATACCCAAAGAACTTGGAATATTTACATGCATAGCTTTTACGGAAATATTAGGAACAAGTTAGAAGTTCATATTTATTCTTGGAAGAAAGGAAAAAACATAGATGAGCAATGAAAGCAGGCTGAAAATTATGTAAAAGACAGAAGTATAACTTAATATACAAGATGCGGCTGAATATGTGCATGCCAGGTTAATTTTTATGTGGGAAAGAGGGGAAAGAGCATGAAAGGAAATCTCTTAGTTTAAAGCCTAGAAGTCAGAGCATTGTTTCCTCTGCAGAATCTTTATACTTAGTTTTTCCTGAATTTGAGGGAAAAATAATTCTGCATTGCATTACTCTTATAATACCACTTATTTTGGCATGTATTCTACATGCAGAAAAATTATTTTTCTCTAATTCCAATGGAATAGCTATACTTTATAATACTCATTTAGGTATAAGGAAATCAATACAGTCTTGGCCAGTGGGTTAAATAATACAAGATGGATGAATTTTGAAGTATCAATTTATAGAATAAATATAAAATGGGTAAATCCAATTTCCTATAACTAAGAAGTAAACAGCATTATTATATAAGGTTAAGAGTTATAAAACAAAATGCTGTTAGAGTTGAATTTTTAAAAGTCCCAGGAGCCTGTACACTGGCTAAGATTCAATTTCATTGTGTCAAGATGCAGAATATATAAGAAGATGACAAGACCTATCACTGAACCATAGTTGGTATTTATATTTTCAATGTTATCAGAATAGCCTACTGCTTAATATTCCAAGGTTTCTTTCTTCTTTTATATGACAAGATGTTAAAGGATGCTTCATTCTTCATATTCCAAAGCAGTTGTCAATAGTTTCAATTTCCTTTTTTTTCATTTTTCAATATAGCATCTTGTACATCTCATTGTTGCAATGGGTCAAAAATGAACTTTACAATTTAGGCTGGGGGGAGGAGGAGTGTAGTTGAGGAGGTGGGTGGGAAGGGATGGTAGGGGAAAAACAAAGGAAGAGGCAACAATGCTTGATAAGAAATGTACTCGTTACCTTGCTTATGTAACTGTAACCCCTCTGTATAGTATTTTCACAATAAAAAACTTATAAAAATAGTCCTAATTCTCTCAAGATTTCTGAAATGAAGAAATAATATGCTGATTTCAGCATAATATAAATTTAAATTGAAGACCAGACAGAGTATATTCATTGTTCAGATGTCTGTGTTTACATTGTTCACATTTTAACTCAATACAAGGCTCTTTTAACATGGGAGTGAACTCATGTAAGAGCAGGTACCTAAGCCAGGTGCTGTAATCCTAGCGACTCAGGAAGCTGAAATCTGAGGATCACAGTTCAAAGCCACCCAGGCAGGAAAGCCTGTGAGACTCTTATCTCCAGTTAACCACCAAAAAGCTGGAAGTAGAGCTGTGGCTCAAAGGCTCACAGATGGTGCCCAGGCCATTAGTTCAAGCCCTACAACTGACAAAACAAAAAAGAAAGAAAGAAGGAAGGAAAGGAAGGAAGGAGGGAGGGAGGGAGGAAAGGAGAGAGGGAGGGAGGAGGGGAGGGAGGAAGGAAAGAAGGAACGAACGAATGAAGGAAAGGAGGGAGGGAGGGAAAGAAAGGAGGGAGGGAGAGAAAGTAAGAGAGGGAGAGAAAAGAAAAGGAAAAAGAAAAAGAAAAAAAAAGAGCAAGGAGCGACTGACTGCTTTTTGTATCCGTTTTCATTTATTGCATAAATAGTACTACAAACTTAGCAGCTTGAAACAGAGCTCATTATACCCATTAATCATCCACAGTTCTGTGGGTGAGATAGTCTCTCTACTCTGTACCATAGGATGAAATCAAGATGTCAGCAGAGATGTGTTCTCATCTGAAGGCTCAACTGGGAAAGAAAATGTTTTCCAGTCCAGTCAGATTGTTGGTGGAACTCAGTTCCTAATAACGTGGGAATGAGGTCCCCGTTTTCTTGCTAGTCATTGGCTAAGAGTTGCTCTCAGCTCCTAAGATTCACTTCAAGTACTTTCTATGTGGCCCTTTCTTACTTCAAAGACTAATCATTGTGCTTCAAACCTCTCTGACGTTCACTTTAGCTACTGTTCTCTTTGGTGAAAACTTTTTCAAAGGCTCATGTGATTCAACCAGGGTCATGTAGGGGATTTCTCTTTTGACTCAAGGTCAACTAATTAGTAACTTTAATTATCTCTTTAAAGTCCGTTTGCTAAGGGGAAACATCAAGGGGCAGGGGTCATGAAAGACATCTTGAGTCCTGGCTACTATGCTATCAGAGTCAATAAATCTAAGAATTATAATAATGAAAGGGCTTGTTTCCATCTGTGAGCTGTGTCCCTGATTATCAGTATTATTAAATAGTATTATCTATCCCTTAAGTATAGGTCTACCTCTAGCAACATTCTCATCTTTTTCCCTTTGTTCATAAAAGTCCCTATGGACCTGAAACTTCTAAGCAGCATTTCTTTCCAACAGGACACCTTCTACGAATCCATTCCATTCCATGGAAGCCTATGTTCAATGTCCAAGAAAAGTGACCTTGTGTGATTGGCAAGTAGCCGAAATATAACATTGGCAACATAACGTGATTGGCAAGTGACAGAAACAGGAGCTGTGTGCACTGGCTCCAATTGCTGGTTGGATGTCTATACCAAAAGTCACACCTCTGTTTCATGTTTTCTTTCAGACTCGGAAGGCAATGACCATGAGGTCACTTCTGAGGGCACTGGTCCACATGCCTCCCCACTACCGCTACCTTTGTGTCAGCCACCTCATTGGGTGGACTGCCTTCTTGTCCAACATGCTCTTCTTCACAGATTTCATGGGTCAGGTAATGAATGTGCCTATGCAAATATCTATTGGCTCACGCATTAATCCACAGGTCAGTGCCTGTTGAGGTTCCTCTTGGTTTGTCTCTAGAATGAGCCCAGTTAGAGCATACCAAAGAGTACCTTCAAGGAGCTTACTTACAGACAAGTTCTAGAAGTATACAACTAGAGGACACCACATGACCAGCCAATATTGATGAAATACAGCTAATAGAAGAGAAGCAGTGTGGCTCATGGTATTATGTCAGGCTTCATGAAGGAAGCACAGTATAATTCGGGCTTGAGGGTGAACAGGAGTTGAAGAGACATAGGAGGGAGAAAACATTCCTACTGGAAATAAAAATGGCACATACAGACAAGAGTCAGAAGCCTATTGGCTCTATCAGAGAATTAACCATGACGAATTGCCTGTATCAGATGGGGGCCAGATATTTGGTAGAAGGGGTGTTAAAGATTTAGAAGGATGTCATTTAGACTTGATGCAGTGGCATTCAGTTTCTCAGATTCTTTTTTTAATATTTTTTTATTTTTGTTTTTATTTTTTTTATTGTGAGAATACCATACAGAGGGGTTACAATTACATGAGCAAGATAAGGAGTTCATTTCTTATCAGGCATTGTTGCCTCCTCTTTGTTTCCCCTTCCCATCCCTTCCCATATCCCCCCTCCTCCCGCCTGATCCTCCCCCCCACCAACAAAGTTGTAAAGTTCGTTTTTGACATAACGACCTGTACATCTCATTGTTGCAATGGGTCCATCTGTATCCCTAGTTAAAAGGATGGCTTGGTGGTGACAGAAGGAGCTCAGTACCTGTGAATGGCCCCTTGGGTGGACACACGAGTGGAGAAACAGAGTGTGTGAAAAGGATTTCTACCACATTGAACTTGTATCTCAACAGATTCAACCTTCTCTTTCAGATTGTATATCATGGAGATCCTTATAGCATGCACAACTCCACCGAATTTCTCATCTATGAAAGAGGAGTGGAGGTTGGATGTTGGGGATTGTGCATCAACTCCGTGTTTTCTTCACTTTATTCTTGTAAGTCTCTCTCTCCTAAGCATGTTTCCTGAAGGTCTCTGGCCCAGCAGAACACAGATTTTATATTTCTCTACTAATTTGCTTCTCTTTAAAACACCAGATAATGGATTAATTATATGGAGTAAAGAGAAACTATTCCTTTAGGAAGGATCACAGAGTATCCATTGCATAGTGAATTCTAGATGTCATTTTTCTCCATGATTATTTAGCATGGGAACTCATCAGGTTATTGGTCAAAACTTCCTGGAAAATGAAAGGGTATGTTGGAACACGATGGTGTGGTATTTGGATGGATGAAAGATAAAGTCGCAGAAGATCTCTATTCTATTGGAGAAGGCCAATGGTAGTGTTTCATAGATGTGCTTAGCAGAATTGTAGGCAACATGAAATAAGAGAGATGGTTAAGGTATAATCCATGACAAAACCAACATGTAGAATGGCCTTGGCTCTGGTGGGTAGGATGCTGTATTCCAGAATCAATGTCGCAAGATTGAGGACAACTGACTTTTCCTTCTCAGGTGCCAGATTTCCTTGGGATCTTTCAGTTTCTTAGTTCTCCTACTTGGCTAAATTTCATCTGAGAGAACAACCCTGGGCAAAGACAGTTCTGCCATTGATTTTAAATAGGTTAAAATTGTTGTGCTACAACTCTAGGGCTTTGGAGTAGAATTTGACTTCTTATTCTTTATCCTCTCTGCTCCTCTACGGTAATGAGAGGGAAACCAGCCCTCAACGTAGAGCTCTAGATTTTAGGCAAGTCCAGTCAGCAGGTTATGGACCCAGGTTATGAAAGTAGAAAAGATGAGGAGAATGTATTATAGGGAAGCACTTTGTACTGAAGTGTGCTTCTTGTTTAGGGGCAAAGTTTGAACTTACCCTGACCTTTCACCTTGACATAGTACAGCAGAAAATGTACTCCAAGCTCTTCTCCAAACTTAACACAACTGAGGGCAGGCAGCCTAATATAACATATAAGGCGTTACAAAATTCATTTAAAAATTTATGATGATCAACTAGTGGTAACTTGCCGTTCACATTTCTTTAGCAAATGCTTCCCCCACCCCACCCCGAGATTAACTAACAAAATGCCAGGAGGAAGATTTCAAGTACTTAACATAGAATCAGAGAGTGACAGTGTGGAAGTGTCTGAAAAATTACACTTCTGCTTAGTTTTGTGATTTCAAGAGGCAACCTCTGTCACTCTTATACAAATTAACAATGAACTATGACCACAACACAGACTTTCTCATCTCTAGACACCAATATTTTTCTTCTACTTCCCCAGCTAGATAATTTCTAAGCATTCATTTAGATCCACCTTAAATATAACTTCTGAAAACATGCACGTTTTTCTTTCTGCGCTCCAACCTATCTTGAGCAGAAGCAAATAATTCCTTCACCTCTAGAGCACACCCCATTAACCTCTCTTTTGGACTCACCATATGACATCAGACTCAGCTCCAGCATCTCCATTTAGACAAAACTCTGCAGGGCGCGTGGATACTGAAGTGAGGAATGCTGACAAGGAACTTATTTTTAAGCCCTTTTTGTGTAGCAAGCACCAGAAAATCATTTGGAATAGCAGTACTGAGTACTGAGGCAAATTCAGTTATTCCTGTCATACACTGCTCTTTATGGCTGATGCTCAAATCAATCATTTCTCTCCAAGTCCCACCCCCTCATACACTATGTGAGGTAGTGGCTACGCCTGGGTGTCAGAACCAGTAGATGGTGAGGGATATTTGGCCCTGAGATTTATCAACTTCTCCTGAAGGAAGCAATCTTTGTCAGACTTTCAGTTTTTGTGCTGAAGTTACTTATGTGTTCAAATAGCTTTTTATATTCTCTTTTGCCTTCTTGGCTGGCCTACACAACTTGGGTAAGAGCTGAGTACTGATGGTAGCTTTTAAGGACTAAGGCACCGTAGGTTAGCTTTTTCTGCATAAATGTAATCGTTAAGCAAACAGGCTTGTCAAAGCTTATTATGAAACTGACCTAGCTTTGTACTGCCCCCTTCACGGCCTTAGCAACAGCAGTCCAGGCATGGAATGTCTTGAATAGAGGAAGCAAGGCATGTTCAGAGCTTGTCTGTCATCCAATGACCTCAGGCAGCGTTTTGCTTCTTAATTGAGTCAAATATAATACAAAGATCTTATCTATGAGGTGTTAGTTGAGGAATTATTTGAATAATTGTGGAATATTTATTAGCATATATTAGTTGTACTGTGGGGTTTCATTGTGATCTATCTATCTATCTATCTAGTAATTTGATCTAAATCACCCCTCTATTTCTTTTTCTTGTCCCCTCTTTTCATATCTTTAAATTTTTTATTGTTATTATATAGGTGATATACAGTGGGGTTACAGTCATGTAAGTCACATAAAGAATACATTTCTTTTTGGACAATGTCACCTTTCCTTTGCTCTCTCCCAGTTTTCCCCTCCCATTCCTACCAATTTCAAATCAATTTTTAACAAGTACCATTATTCTATTTTCGTATATAAATAGGAAATATTTTGAATTTCCCTCACCTTTTGCCTTCCTCCCATCCACGAGTTCCTTCCCCCATACACATTACATATTCTCCCCATTTGATACTAATGTCATTCTTTCTTCCCTCCTCCCTCCCTCCCTCCCTCCCTTCCTTCCTTCTTTCCTTCCTTCCTTCCTTCCTTATTTCCATCCTTCCTTCCCTCCCTCATTTTATCCTTTCTTCCTTCCCCTGCCTTTCTCCTTCCCTCCCTCCTCTTCCCCCCCCTCTTTCTCCCTTCCTTTCTTTTTGGTATAGATTCTGCATATGAGACATTTTTCTTCCTTAGTCTGGCTTTTTTCACCTAACACAATGATCTCCAATTCCATCCTTGAATAGACACATTTCAACTATTTATTGTTCATCCTCTGGTTTATATGAACAAGCCATTTATATGAACAAGCCATGTTTCCTGCCAGGAGAACCAACAATAGTTCAACCTGTAGTTGTTGAAGGAGCAACAGTCACATTAATTGGGCATTTATTATATATTCAATAGCATTGGCAGGCTGATTTCTCAGATACATTTTCTCATTTTGCAGATGAGAAAGTCAAGGTGATGAGAAATTAGGAAACATGTAGTGAGGGAGCCTGCTATGTGGAGCTCCCCAATCATCCTGGGAAGTGTTGGAGAGACAGGGAAATGTCTACAGAGAATTGCAAGTCATGAACTTCTTTCTTATATGTATAATCTATATTCAAGTGGGGGCTAAGGAACTATAAATGAATTACTTGGATCATTCTATAAAATCTAGATGTTTTAATTTCTCGGCCCAACTTTGGGTTCCAGGATAAGCATGTATTGTCATTTTGTTCCTGTTGGACCAGACATGGCTAATTAGAATAAGCCTGGCTTTTCCTCTATCCCTTGCAGCCCAGGGTCCCATTGCCAAGGTGTGCTTCTCAGCCTCCCTGCTTACATTCTTTTGCTATTCAGCTGACTGTTAAACAGTGCCTGGTCTTCCTCTATGGAAAAGAAAATCAGCCTAGCAAGGCAATTTCAAGCTGTCTTTTATGTAAAGGACTTAAAACAGATCCCAAAGCCAGCTGTTTCCAACTCACTGATAAGGAGATTCTTTTGTTCCTGACTCAGTAGCAAAGGAAGTCTCCTAAAATAGTGAATCTTCAAAAGAAAGGATTGCCTGAAATTATTAAATGTTGTGAGGCACTGCCAGCTGTAATTTCTCCCTTTCTTTTCCTCCCACAGACTTTCAGAAAGCTTTGGTGTCCTACATTGGATTAAAGGGGCTTTACTTCATGGGGTATTTGCTGTTTGGCCTGGGGACAGGATTCATTGGACTTTTCCCCAACGTCTACTCTACCCTGGTCCTATGTGCCTCGTTTGGTGTAATGTCCAGCACTCTGTACACTGTGCCCTTTAACCTCCTCGCTGAGTATCACCAAGAGGAAGAGAAGGAGGTGTGTACTTGATCCTCTGCCCAGGGTAACAACCTGACTCACCGAAAACCTGTGGGGCTGGGGTGGAGGATGGGATTTCCTAGAAAAGTGCAGAGCCAAACTGGAAAGTAAGGGCTCTTAAAACAGCAGACTAATGTCTTCAGCCAGTCATAATGACACAAGTATGACCACCAGCCCAGCCCCAACCCTTGTTTTGAGCCCTGCTGAGCTTCAGATTTTGAATCCTATGCCCATTTGGCTGATTAGGAAAAGGAGTCTCACTGGTGCCTCAGAAGAGCATGATGGAGTTTCTGGGGAATATGGGCTATGGGTAGAATGTTCCTAAGCAATACTGTCCTAAAGCTTTGGTAAATGTGCTGGGAGGAAGGTTAGAATCCTAGGTAAGGGGGTTTTTCCCTCTCTATGGCTTGGAACTCAAACTAGAGAGCCAGGTCTGAAGCAATCCTTATAAGGACACCAAGATGGGGACTGTTCTCAAAATGGTCATTTGTTCTGATCAACATGTGCAATTCTTTCTCCATGCAAATAGGCACATACATCCTTAGCTAGATACTAAGCTAAAGGAATAACTAAATTTAACTTATCTTAGCAAGGAACTGAAGAAAAAAACACTGAAAATACATCCGTGTGACTGTAATTCCAACCTCTCTCGCATCATTGAGTGTGGCACCTGCAGCTTCCCAGCAGAGCTAGGAGAGGAATTAACACCTTTTCAAGGGAAAATGGTGGTGGTGTCTGCCTTCATCCCCTGACAAAGATGGCTGCTGAGTGCGTTAGTGCATGCAATGTGCAGGAAGGGATTGGGCTGTTACAAAGTCAGCCATCCTCAAGAACTGTCCCTTCACAAAGAAAATGACATGGTGCCAAGGAAAAAGCCTCCTATGCTTTGGGCTCAGAGAAACTTGGATTCACCTTCTGCTTCTCCCATGGTTGTGTGGCCCTAGCAGGGCTATTCACTTATTTATTAAATAGCACTTACAACGAAGGTGATATACTCACATGTTCCAGTAAGCACAAAGGGTGCCATTCTTGCTTGCTCTTTATTTCTACTCACAGTATTCTTAAAAGAAAAGCAAGCACCTTGAATCTTGGGGTTTCTTTCTTCCTTATTCAAAGAACTATATACATTTCTCTACACAATGTTTATTTTACTTAATCATAGTAAAATTACCATTCCTACACTCGGGGCCTCCATATCCTCACTAGTCAAATGAGAATAATACTCACTATGTGAATTTGTCAGAAAATTAAACAAGATAGTATATGTGCCTACCTCCTACCTAACAAGGACTCAACAGTGACAGCTAACATTGTTGTTATCTTAGAATAATGATTATAATACATACACCTAGGCAGCAGATAATGAAGTATTAAATTAAAAACAAAACAAAAAGACTCATCCAGAGCTGGGAATGTGGCTTAGCAGTAGAGTGCTTGCCTAGCATGCATGAAGCCCTGGGTGGGATTCCTCAGTATCACATAAACAGAAAAAGTTGGAAGTGATGCTGTGGTTCAAGTGGTAGAGTGCTACCCTTGAGCACAGAGAAGCTCAGGGACAGCACTCAGGCCCTGAGTTCAAGCTCCAGGACTGGCAAAAAAATAAAAAACAAAAACAAACCCCCCCCCAAGAAAACAAAAAATGGGCTAGGAAGGTGGCTCAGTGGTAGAGCGCTTGCCTTGCATGCATGAGGCCTGGGTTCAATTCCTCAGCACCACATAAGCAAAAAAAAAAAAAAAAAAGCCGGAATTGGTGCTATAGCTCAAGTGGTTGAACACTAGCCTTGAGCTGAAGAGCTGAGGGACAGCGCCCAGGCTCAGAGTTCAGGCCCATGACCAGACCCCCCCAAAACAAACAAACAAACAACAACAAAAAAAACTTGCCAAAAAAAGAGTTAAAACAAACAAACAAAAAACTTGTCCAAGTCTAGTAAATGACAATGAAAACCGATTCAGACCAGATAATGAGTATCAACCAAACTACAAAAATAACCCTATTTTGAAAGGGTTAAGTGATTTTGGTGGATTCTCCTAAGTCTATAATTATGTAAAATCCTTTTGAAATTGTTTGAATTTTAAACATTAAGGAAGAAAATGAAGGGGATATATTCTTCCTTTAATGAGTTTTTCTACTACATTGTATCTTCTTTTTCTTTTTAATTTCTTGGGAAGAGATGATTTTACATATGCTAACCACTTAAGACTTTGTCATGGGAAAGGAAGACATCATTAGGAAGGAGGGTAGAACATTCTAGTAGTAGTGGTTAGCACGCTGCAGGTTACTGGCTTAAAGTTACTGGCTTAAAGGTGGCTGCTGCCTGTTTTCCTGTGGTCTAAGAGCTGAGAATTCTTTTAAAATTGGTAAATGATGGAAACTTTTCCAAAGAAGGACACTACTTTGTGCTAAGTAAAAATGACACAAAATCAAACACAAATGTGGATGAAGTTATATTAGAATGTAATTTGCCTACATATGGTAGTTTCTCTCGCACTTGAACAGCAGAGTCAAGCAGTTCAAACTAAGATTTCATGACCCATACTGGTTTATTTACTCACCTGTGCCTGTTTCCCTTTCAGAGGCAGCAGGTCCAGGGAAGGGGCCTGGACAGCAGTGGACGAGGCAAGGGCGTGGACTGCGCTGCCCTCACCTGCATGATACAGCTGGCTCAGATCCTGGTCGGAGGTGGTCTGGGCTTTCTGGTCAACATGGCAGGGAGCGTCATTGTTGTGGTAATCACAGCCTCTGCAGTGGCTCTGATTGGCTCTTGCTTTGTGGCACTTTTTGTTAGATATGTGGATTAGTTCAATAAAGAGATGTTGAAGCTAAGCTCAGATGAGTGAAGCTTGTGAGTCTCTGCACCTTTGGAGTCCTCCTAGTAGATGCTTTGCCCTATGATTTCTGCTGGGGTTATCGGCTCTCACCTGGCATGCATAACAGTCCCCATATATCTGAGCTATGTCTGTATGGGCTGGGGTCCAAGTGTACCTGCAACTGAGACCACCTACCATGCTAGGTCTCCTTCACTGCCTCTCAGTGCAAGCATGGGAGAGCCAGTGGGCATTTTCCACTGGGCATTTCAGACCTTGACGACATCTGAGAGGTAGACATTTATATCGATTCCATAATGTGATTAAAAAAAACACATAAACTGTCATCAGAAACAGTAGAAGGAGGGAGATATATATTTGATCAAATTCACAAATACTCAAATATTGATGATGACTTCTTTATGGTATTGATTTATTCACAGTTAATGTACTTATTTATTTATGACATCCATGACAAGTCTGATTAAACATCGCATACTGAAAGATTTACCACCTGAAAATCAGTTCATTTCATTAGCACAGGAAACTATTTCTCTAGGAACAGTTTCAGCCTCTGGAGTGAACACCAAAGTCTTTCAAGACATGGCCCCTGGATCCTCCTCTGATATTCTGTCCTCCAGCTAAGGAGTTGTTCCCTAGCCAGACTCATCCAAGTGCCTCCCATGTGGGAAGGCTTTAGTGGCTTGGAGAGAAGTATAATTTCGTAGGAACACCAAAAGCTTTGGACACTGCTGGTTTTTGAATCATGGTTTTGTTACTCTGTAATATACAATTGCTTACCTTTGGATAACAATGACAGCATCAGAGACTTATGATGACATAATAAATAACAGGGAATGCTTTGAGTTAGAGTTGTAACTGTACTGCCATCCTGGACATGAATGCTGTGACTTATCTCAATTTTGTAGATGAGGTAACTGAGGCGAGGATGCATTAGATAATTTATCTGATGCCACAGAACTCATTAGTGGCAGAGCTGGGGCTTTGAACCTGGAGCTCTGGCTCTGCTGCTTCCTGTAAGGGGTAGCATCTAGCAGGTAGCTGATACTTAGATTGTGCTAGATATATGGTATTGTCACTGCTGTGTTGTTATGGTAAGTGCAGCTGTTAGATAAAGTTTACATCTTTGGAACATTGGGTAGATTACTGGGCTGAGAGCTTTAACAGGCTTGATTTCTATATCTGTATCTTTCTTTCTCCTATCCCTCCCTTCCTCTTTTTCTCCCTCTCTCTCCCTTACTCGCCCCCCCCCAATACACACAGAGTTAAATCCAGCATGCAAATATTTTGCTAGTTGAACTCATTTCCATAATGGCTTGAATGAGTAAACTGAATCCAATCTAAAGAACCTTTTTAACTGTGTATAGGGACTCAAGCATTTGTTTTCAGGCTACCAATGATATGTCCTATCTGGCAAAAAAAAAAGCAAAAATAAAAACAAAAAAACAGTCTGTTCCCAAATAAATAAATCAAAATTTTCAACAGAAATCCTGTAGGAGACGAAGCCATAATAGTGATGGCCTTCAGTCATCACAGTTCTTTAGTTTTACAAGTTACATCAGTCTCCTCACTCTATCCCTACATTAAACCTGCCTAAATTGTAGCCATATTGCCAGGCCCCTCTTAAATATTTTCATGGCCCCAAAGTCTCTGGTTGCTAAGAAGAACTGATCTTTTCTTCTGTTTAATTCCATAGCATTTTTAGCCCTCTTATGATATCCAGCTAATTGTTCACTGTCTTATCTTGCTTGTATTTACGGCTGTCTGTCCTTCTAAATGCAGAAATTAGTATTGTGGCTCACCAACATGATTTTAGTATCCAGAACAGAATATGGCCCAAAATATTCGCTCAAAATTAATTGCTGGTTTCAAGTGATCTGGACACTTTCTCTTGATCCTTGTGTCTTTGTTGTAGAAAGAAATCTAGGTATATCACCCCTCCTGTCACATTCTCAGCAACTGTTAGTTGGATTTAGACAAAGTAACTCCTTGATACAAAAATTTTTTCATGAAGATATTATTTCTAGTTCCTTCTCTTCTATTTTTCTAGTGCCCAGAGTAACAGAAATGCACACTTAAACACACAGCCCCAAAAATCCTAAGCTACCCACAAAATTTTTGTTTGCCAAAATTGAAATAGCAAGTTACTTTAACAGGAATCTCTCAATAAGAGTCTATTATAGGCTTGCAAATGAATGCACTGTTGTTTGTTTTCTTGTATTGACTTTCCATTTACTTTGTATTGTTGAGATTTAAGAGCCTTATATTTCAATCTTTGTTAGCCTGATTGATACTCAGTATCAATAAGTTTTCATTTCAAAGACAAAAGAAAGGCAGATATGACTAATTCGAAACTGTTTTCTAAAAGAATTGACTTCTTAATATTTGTCAGGATTGAAATCTGACAGCTTTGATTTTTGCTAAAAGGTTTATGAATGTTGAATAATTGCCTTGTGTTATGTTACCAGAACTGGGACATGGAATGGCAGACATATAGACCCCACATTTTGAGCCTTAAATCTCATTTATTATCAGAAAAATGCAGCAGTTCTGTAGTTCTAGATCACAGTACACAGGTTTCTGATGATTATTTATTGTATTAAAATAACCATACCAAAAGGTGCTTTCATTTCCAGATTCTTGACCTCAAAATCAAATGACAAAGAAAACAGTAGCCCCTCTCTGGATACTGGCAGATAAATGGGCAGATCAATGTTTGATCTCCATTCTCAGAACAGCCTGAAGAAAGAACCTTGTGAGAATCATAATAACTTAACTGCTACAAGTACAGAGCTGTCATGAGAGATGTGAATTAGTCTTCAGAAACAGTCTCTGGAAATTAGGGCCAAATTAATCATGCACATTCAATATGAAACTCTAAAAGAAACCAAATTTGATTAAGGTAGTCTATGGGAATGATTATTTCTTACCTTCTCTTACCCAATAAAGAACCCCCACATCTAAAATTCTGCTGATCTTCTCAGAACAACCCCTCTGGACTATTTTTCCTTCTAGGACATTTGACTTGAGGTTTGCATTCTTTTCCATCCTAAACTCCTCTTGAAAGGACAAATGTAGGCTTCTAGAAATTTGGTCTGCAGGAAGCCCCTGCCCATTTCTTCAACATTTCTTTCTCCCCTAAGCCTGTGGAAAACTTCACTAAGCTCTCCCTCTGCTCCCTGATCCAGGGACAGCTGCATTCCTAAAGAGTGCGGAGAAGGGCTACAGAGCTACCCTCACTCTCAGGAGAGCTTGTCAAGATGTTCTTGGACCCAGGTCACCAGCAGCAGCAAACCAGAGCTAGGGTCAATGTCTCCTGGACTACTTAGCCACCCAGGATGCTTCCGCCTGCACTTCCTGCTCAGTTGCCAACCTGCTCAGTTTCCTTTAAGGTCAATAGCCTGAGGAGGTTTTTCTAGCAGCATCTCTCACCAGCTGTTCTCCAACAAGGTGATGCCACTCCTATCCCTGGTGACATTTGAGCTCAGAGATTATGCAGGGCTTGAACAGATTTCGCTTGTTTCCTCTTCCGCCCTGTTCAAGGTGATAAACCAAACCAAAGTGTCACCCAGGTAATCTCTCCCTCCTCAGTTCTCCTGGGACCAACGGCGATCATTCCTTTCTCCCGATTCTAAAAAGCAAGTTTCTTTTTTTCCCTTTTTTTCCCCCAAACTGCAGGCTCTCAGTAAAGTCAGACCTCCTTAATAGTCTTGGTCTTGTGGTCCAAAGTCAAAAGACAGGGTTTGGAGGGAGCTTTCCTGGCTGGGTGTAGCTTGAGGCTACACTAAAAAAGCTGCAGAAAAGTTTCTGGAACCCAGTGCTCAAGGGCACATCATTTGGCTGAGCCCCATCCCCTTCAGCCCCAATTTCCTGATGGCTTTCTGCTTCTCTCTGTCCTCTACCTACTTACTTTTGGATCCAGGGACCTCCTGCTGTTAGTTCTCCACTTGCCCTAGCCCAATGAAGACTGCCCTGTTCTCCTCCCCCTGAGCCTTAACCCCAATCAGTAGGCTGAGCTACTGGGTAGCAGGTCGTAGCGCCCTCCGCTGTAGATCACCACGCCGGGTGGGTAGTAGAGCACGTCTGGCTCCGCGGCAGCCTGCAAGGGCGCCAAGGCCTGCAGCCCGTGCTGGTCCTCGGGCTCCGGCTTGGTGGTGGCGGTGAAGGGGCGCATGTTGGTGAGGGAAGGCGAGGCGAACCGCCACAGCAGGCTCTTGAGCGCCTTTCGGAACTCGCGGCGCACTAGGCAGTACAGGATGGGGTTGAGGCAGCTGTTGGAGTGTGCTAGACACACGCTCACGGGGAACGCATAGACCTGGCACAGGAAGTACTCCTGGCTGAAGGGCACCGCGTTGAACTTGATGAGGATGCTCCAGGTGGTGAGGGCCTGATTGGGCAGCCAACACAGGAAGAAAGAGAGGACCACGATGGTCACTGACTTGGTGACCTTGGCGCGTCTCCGAGCGCTGGCTGAGGTCAGACCTCCTCCCGCCGCGGGGGGCCCTCCTTCCACCCCCACCACGCGGCGGTCGGAGATGAAGCGCACCAGCAGCAGGTAGCACAGGCTGATGATGCCCATGGGCAGCACGAAGCCCAGCAGCACCTTCTGCGAGTGGTACAAACCCAGCCAGAACTGCCTGTCTCGGCCCAGCGATTGGTCGGGGAAGCGCAGCAGACACAGCTCCTCGTCCATCACCCTGATGGTGGTGGAGAAGACGGCATTGGGCAGGGAGGCCAGCAGGGCCAAGGTCCAGATCAACACACACAGTGCCTTGGCTGAGAAGCAGCACGTGTCCTCCCAGTGCTGACTCCAGCAATGGCCACGGACGCGCCCTCGGGTCCGGTGACTCTTGAGAGCCGAGGCCACCGAATGGTAGCGGGCCACACTCATGGCCGTGAGGAAGAAGACGCTGGCGTACATGTTCACGGACGTCACCACGGACACGATCTTGCACATGGCCTTGCCAAAGGGCCACTTGAAGTCCAACGCGTTCTCCACCGCCCAGAAGGGCAGAGTGAGCACGAACTGAAAGTCGGTCAGCGCCAGGTTGGTGACGAAGAGGTTGATGGACGACTGGCGCCAGCCCTGTTTGGTCTTCATGAGATAGAGCACCAGCAGGTTGCCCGTCAGTCCCAGGGCGCAAACCACCCAATACACGGCGCTGATGAGGATCCGCACGCGGGCCTCGGAGTCCGCGCTCTCGGTCCCGCCGCCGCCGCTGCCCGGGGCATGCCCAGGGGCGGCGCCGTCGGGCAACTCCAACCCCAGCTCCCACCACAGGTCCCGAAGCTGCAGCGACGCGTTGCCACTGGCGTTAGCCGACTCCAGAAGGTCTGGGAGGAGCCTCGAGAGTTCTGCAAACTCGTCGCCTCCAGCTGCCTTCCTCATGGTGGCCTGGGGTGGTTGCAGCAGCCCCCCTGTGTACCCCAGGACCCCCTAGATCATCGAACAAAGGGAGCAGGTCCCACCTTAGTTAGGTCTCCAGAAGAGCGCACGGGACGAGCTTTCCAGGGAGCCTTGGAAGCCAATGCTTAGAAATCCGGGTGCGGGGTGTCCCGCGCACGGAGCGCTTACTTTGGAGTGGAGCTCTGTCTGCTCCCCGGGGGGGGGTACGGAGCCCAGGGGTTGACAGCAGCGGCTGGCGGTCCAGGGATTCTCAGGTCAAGTTCAAGATCTGCACTCCAGGGTGGAGACTCACCGCCTCCCTGCGCGCCCGTCTCCCGCTGTCCTTGTCGTAGGTACTGGCGCCTAACGCACCTGGCGGCTCAGGAGCGAGATTCTGGGTGCCCCTCCTTCTCTCCCCAATACCCCCCGTGGGCTTCTGCAGCTGCTGCTGCTGCCTGAGCGAGGTTTCGCTCTTTTATTGGAGATGGTGAAGTTCCATCTTTCCCACTCCACTGCTTGGAGGTCTGTAGCAATTTCGGTGTCTCTGCTGTTGTCAGCTTGCGGTGAGTGATCTGAGGCGTTGTATCCGAGTTTTATTTGCGCCGGGGCCCCCACCGGAGCATGCGTAATCCCTGCTCAAGGAGAGGGGGTGCTTTCCGAGGTGCTGAACCCCGCCGCGCCTGCCCCTGGGGTGTCGGGGTGTCGGGGATGCGGGGGGTTGGTGGATGGAGGGCGTGGATGCAGGCTGAGACCACCTACAGCCTCCTCTTTCCTCTCCAAAGTTTCCAAAGGAAACGATCACAGCCTTTTATTTTTTACGTTGCAAGATCTGCTTTGATTTGTATACTTTCTTCCTTACTATTAAATGTCACAATTTGAGGGTTTTTTTAAAAGAAAAATCCTTCAGCACTAACTTTATCGTTGAAATGATCCTTTCTTGATGAATAATTGTTCTAACACTCCTCCATCGCTTGCCCCTACTCTCTTTCAAAAGAACAGTAATGGCTTCTTTTCATGTCTAAATAGGGTACTGTATCCTATTACTCAACACCCAAACTCAAGCCCTGCTCTTTACCACGTAGTTGATGTAGGAGGGTTGTCAAAGGGTCTTCACGCAGCGGAACGCAGGGTTGGAATGTTTCCTTCCTTTGGGATATTCTGTGAAGTGCAGCTAATCAGTGTATAATTGGTTGCTAACTTTGCGTGCATTAATAACACCTATCTATTCCTCTACCCAAAGCTCCCAAGAATTAAACCCCTAAAACCCCAGTTTTTTTAGGGGGGACTAGAGGACAAAGGGGCTGATTCAGGAGTACTACCCCCACAATTCTTCTATTAAAATCGTTATTATTTATCAGGTTATTCAAATCAATGGAAGGAAATGCTAATGAACTAAGGGAATGTGGGGGAAAAAACCTTTTGCTTCTCAAATGGTGGTTTTAAATAAATAAATAAATATCAGACAACTGGCATTTAAATGACTCAAATTACATTTTAAGAAAGGACTTAAAATTCTGAAACACTTTCTTAACTGTGGGAATTAAACTGAAGTCCAAGTATATTACTTCCGGGGTAATTCAGAACTACTTCATTAACTTACAGGGAATAAGAAGATGTGGATTTAAAGCAGAGGAGATTTAGTAAAAATCTAAGAAAGAAGCATGGTTTTCAAAACATAAAGGAAAGGAAAGTTGATTCAAAAGCACATGTCCTTTGGAATGAACGTACTTGGCCATAGACAGGGGAATGCTCTAACTCCCCACTAGAGGACGCCAGGGCTTTATTAAAAATTAAACCAAGTTAAATCACCTCCATTGATCAGTCCTTACCTGAAGAGGAGTCCTGTCCTGATTCCTCCAACTAACCTACAACCTGCTTCTGTGGGCTCCTTTATCTTGATTTTCTTAGCCTTAGTTGAATGCTCAATTTTCACTTAAAAAAAAAGAATGATTTATCAAATGTTATTTCCATTTTGTGGTTGTTTTGTTTTGCTTATTTCAAGAGCTGTTGGTAAAGCAGGAAGTCCAGGACAAGCATGGACACCCTCTGCTCTTAAGTTTTCTGGTATGTTCACATCAATGCCCATCCCCCCGCCCCGCCCATGCCCACACTCATAGAGACACTTCCTTGTCTTCATGTCTCCCCTAGTTCCCGCCAAGAACATATCTACTTGGTATTCTCTGAATCACAAGTATTCGTACTGTGTGAAGAATATTGTAGGAAGTAGATTTAAATTATCTGACTTGCTCTTAGCTAGGCACTGAGCTGAGTCGAAAGACATTATACACCCTAACCTAAACTTTCTCTGTCTCTCTCCTTCCCTTTCTCTCGCCCGGTAAGCCCCCACCCCCCACCCATGGTATTGGAGGTGAACTCAGGGTCTTGAACTTGCTCACCTTGCATGCTTGCTGTCTTGCTCAGTTGGTATTCTACCACTTGAACTATGCCTCCTGCTCTGATTTTGCTGGCTTTTGGGAGACAGGGTCTAGTGGGCTTTCTGCTCAGATTGGCCTCGAACCACCAAGCTCTAGATCTCAGCCTCCTCAAGAACTAGGATTATGAGCATGAGTCCCAGGCACCCTGCCCAAGTCCTTTGTTGAACTCAGTGTAAATGGGAATACAGTCTAATAACGTCTGTGGCTTGTATTTTATTTAGTCTTGTGCATGACTAACTTGTCTGAAATGTAATTATCAGTGCCCAATTCATGGACAATAATTTTAGCTCTTTCATTTGCCTTTTATTTGTTTTCAGGGATAGGCAGGTAATAAGTAGTTATACTGTATATTGATGGGCTGATCCAATTTTAGACTTGGGGGTATATTATTTCAAGAGGATTCCATCTGTTTTTGGTAATAGTGACACTGAGATCAGGGTGTGACAAAGGGAAGGAAAGAAAAGAAAGAAAGAAAAAAAGGAAGAAAGAAAAGAAAGAAAGAAAAAAGGAAGAAAGAAAGAAAGAAAGGGAAAAGAAGGAAGGAAGAAGGAAAGAAGGGAGGAAGGAAGGGAAGAAAGAGAAAGGAAGAAGGAAGGAACTTTTTCCTTCACAGTGGCAGGATATGGGATCTTGAAATGTTTTGCTGGGCAGCTCTGTGTTTAAAAGCCATGTAGGCCAGTGACATCATGAGTGAGGACAGAATAAAAGTGTACTCCAGCACATCACAGCTGAACCAAGAGCCACAGGATGCAGGGGGTCACGAGCTTGAGCACTGGTGGCTGAAGGAGACCTAAAGAGTTGAAGGTTTTATTGAGACTGTCACTGCTAGGGAGTTGTCACATTAGGTCTAATTCCTTTGACTTCAATATAACATCTTTGGTTTATTTTCCAACTTGATTCTAACTCTCTAACCACCAAAAAGCCAGAAATGGAGCCGTGGCTCTAGTAGTAGTAGCTCATGCTGTGGCTCAAGCCAGCCTTGAGAAAAAAGCTAAGAGACAGTGCCCAGGCCCTAAGTTCAAGCCCCAGTACTGGAAGAAAAAAATGATGTTGATAGGGATTTGTTTCAGCAGAAGGTATTAAAATAGATCTGCATTACTTTCACAACATTCTGAGGGGAAAAATAATTGTTTAGTGAAATCAAATTAAACTTGGCTTAAGGCTATCCTGACTTAGTTGGAGAGACATTAAGATGGGGGAGCTTTGGTGACCTCCTAATCAGTTACACTCCAGAGCTCATGTGGTCCAGAGAAGAGAGGGAAAAGCCTGGTCTGGTGCTAGGCTGACCTTTGGTTAGCAGGCTATGGCTGATGATTCAGTCAATCTAAAACCAAAGAGTACACACACATCAGTCAGCCCAATGCTGTCATTTATAAATATGGACTATTTTCTAAATTCAAAAAAGACATGTTTAAAACAGATAAAATAGACATAATTTGTTTGATTCCACCATACTCCACAAAGTTTTATCTGATCTTTGTAATCGTTTGCTTTTTCAGATTAATTAATTCTGATTTGTCTTTTGCCACAATTGATCAGCCTGCTTCTCCTAGGTGTGTGTGTGTGTGTGTGTGTGTGTCTTGGTTGGTCTGTTGGTCAGTACTGAGGCTTGGACTCAGGACTTGGTACTGTCCCTGAGCTTCTTTTGCTCAAGATAGTGCTCTACCATTTGAACCACAACACCACTTCCAGCTTTTCTTGAGTAGTTTATTAGAGATAAAAAGTCTCACAGACTTTCCTGGCAGGCTGGCTTTGAACTGCAGTCCTCAGATCTCAGCTTCCTGAGTAGTTAGGATCACAGGCATGAATCACCAGTGCACAGCTCCTAGATTTTTAAAATATTATCCTTAAGTAATTGTACAAACAGGTTTCAATTCAACATGTCAGTTGACATCATTCTTCCTCATCTCCCCCAACTTCCGTGTCCCCTCAGTTTTCATATATGTGCATTGAATATTTTGACTGCATACATTTTTAAAATAAATAATCAAATATTATGTATCTTGGTATGTGGAGAAAGGGAAAGCAAGAACCACTCTGCTCTTTCATTTAGAGTAAATTGTTTTTGAGACTTATCTATGTTGCCGAGTGTGGTTTGCTCTTTTTATTATTGACAATTGTTCTACAGGACAGGTACATAACTCAGGTTGGCTATCTACCTCAGTGTTGACAAATTTGGATTATTGCCAGTCTTTGGCTATTACAAATGGAACAGCTATAAGCAAAGGTGTTTAAAGGTTCATGTGGATGCACAAGTTCTTTCATTTCTATTGCAAAAAATGACAATGGTTAGGTCAGATGGTAGTTATGCATCTGATTTAGGAAATTGGAAGACTGGTTTTAGTAGTAGTTGTATACTCACGCTTTGATCAAATAATAACTAGGTTTATCTTTGAGGGAGGTGCACAAATGAATAAAATATAATCACATACCTGTAGTTTGTAATCAAATGAAAAGCCAGCCAGAAGCATCTATCAGCTGAAATCTCACTGTATGAAATGCAGCTCAGTTGCCAGATTTCTAATTTACTATTTGATTCTGATTCGCTCTTACTCTGAGTCTTTCACAGACATCTCTCAGCCTTGCAT